CGCACCTGCCGCCCGCTCCGGTCTCCCACCGCTGCCGCGCCCGCGTCCTGGCCGCGCGAGTTGCGGGTCCCGCGGGACCTGCCTTGGCTGCAGGCCCGCAGGCGCCGGGGATGGCGTCGGATGCGCTCTGACTCGGTACTGAGGGCCGCGAGGGGGAGGGAGGAACGAGGGGGGGCGCCACCTGCTGGGCCCGGGCCTGGAGGGGGTCCACGGGCGGGGGTTTCCCGTGGTCGGGGGCAGTCCTCGGGCGGGGGCCGCTCGTCACCCCTACGGAGTCACGCGTACGACGTACTCTTTTCCCGAACTTGAGGAAACTTTCTCCTCAGCCGCTGGCCTCGGGGCGCCCTGGGCCCTCCGCCTGAGGGAGATCACCAGCCCCAGCGACCCAGACCCTCCGCCTGAGGGACCCCGCGCCCCGTGGTCTCTGCTTAAGAGGACCCCCACCCAGGGCCCTGACCCTCTCCACCTGCTCCCCCCCGCCGTCTCCACTGCCCTGTGGCCCAGGACAGGCCCCCCCAGGAGTGTGCTCTGGGCGGGTGGGCTTGGCCAGCCTGAGAACAGTTCGTCAGGGGTCCGAGGGGTCGTCCGGCCCACCGCCCTTGGAGCCTTGCGAGGCCCAGGCAGTGAGCATTTTAGTGGGCTCGTCATTTCTGTGTTCAAGCTGCCCAGAGTCCGTTTCCTCCAACGTGGGATGGAAGCTTTGCCTTGGAAGGTTCTAGTGCACCCATGCATTTTGCCACTGCTGGGAGCCCGTGGGACTGGCTTGGTGATTTCATTTGCTGGGGTCAGCGGTGTCCGCGGGGTGCAAACACTTGCATTTACAGAGGGTGGGCTGTGTGCTGGGCGCTCTGTGCTTCGCTGGACAGGGCTAGCCCTAACGGCGACCCGATGGCTGTCTGTGAACTCTGCCCCCTGCCAGGTTACCCAGGTCCGCCCGGCTTCTTCCCGGAGCCTCTGCCTCCTGCCCAGCCTGGGTTCCCAGCACCCCCAGGCTCTTCAGTGTCCTGGTCGTCCTACACGTGTGACCCCAGGTGTGGGCCCCACTGGACCCCCGGGCTCCCTGCTGTCCTGGCTGTCACACGTGTATGCTCAGCCGGATCCCCAGCTCTGGTGAGAACCTGTGCTCCAGGTTCTTGAGTGGCTGCACAGGTGGGGCACATTCTGGAAGCTGGACTAAGGGAGGTCAGGTATCAGGCTCCGAGTCGCCCAGCAGGAGAGAGGCAGCTGTGGCTCAGGCTGAGCCGCTCATCTTTGCGTTCTCCACGCCCTGGGCCGCTGGCACTGGGCTTTGCACTGAGCTGGGACTCATGTTTGTGAAACTTCACAATCTGCCCCCAGCCCACCCCTCACCCTCTGCGTTGGAGCTGCTCACCTGGCTTCTGGATGATGCCCGTGTCCCCTTGGTCCTGCGGATCAGTTCCTGCCCTTCCCCCATCCCTCTCGAGTTCCGCTCTGACAGTGAGGACAGGCCGTCTAGCCGTGGGTTTGGGGGTCTTCTCCCGCCCCTCAGAGCGTCTCCCAGCCGCCCGGGGCTTACTCCCTGTCACGCCCGCAGCCTCAGCCTGGGTCCCTGCCTGGCGTGTTGCGGCTGTACATGGAGACTTTGAGGCCTAAGATGTGTCGCCAAAATAGGCATTCATGTGTTTATTATATAAAAGAGGGTTTTAGGATAGGAACATATGTGTGCAAAATGTGGGCGTGAGGAAAGCTTCCAGGCTGGGGTTGTTTTAGGAGCCTCTGGGTGGTGTAGATGGTTAATGCTCCGGCTGCTGCTGAAACATTGCAGGTTCCCATCCACCCAGAGGTGCCTTGGAAGAAAGGCCTGGCGATCTACTTACGAAAAATCAGCCATTGAAAACCCTATGCAGCGCAGTTCTACTCTGGCATACATGGGGTTGCCATGAGTCAGGCTTGACTCCATGGCAGCTGGTTCTGGGGGTTGCGTAGAACTCTAGGTGGTGGAGCGGGGAGGGCTTGACTCAACAGCAGCTGGTCCTGGGGTTATTTAAAACTCTAGGTGGTCGAAGTGGAAGGGCTTGACTCGACGGCAGCTGGTCTTGGGGTTTAAAATTCTAGGTGGTCGAGCAGGGAGGGCTTGACTCCATGGCAGCTGGTCCTGGGGGTTGTGTAGAGCTCTAGGTGGTCGAGCTGGGAGGGCCCCAGGTGGATCAGCTTGGTAGCCCCCTCATTTTGCAGATGGGGAAGTTGAGGCCCAGAGTGAAGTCAGTGCCACACAACAGGTGTGAGGAGAGACGGGACAGGAAGAAGCTGCACGGTGAGGCAGTGCAGATGAAGCCTGGCCGCCTTAGGAGGGTCTGGGCCTGTCTATGCAAATGGGCCTTAGCTCAGTGGGGCTGCGGAGGGGAGGCGGTCCCTCTGGGGCCAGGAAAGAACCAGCCAGTCTCTTAGCTCACCTCGTGCCAGGCACGATTCTAAAGGCCTCACATGGACCTTGTCCCCATTTCACGACAGGGAAACTGAGGCGCAGGGAAGTTAAGAATCTAGCCCAGGGCTGCACAATGGGTTAAGTGTAAGAGCTGGGATTTGAACTCAGGCAGTCTTACTTCCAGAACCTGCATCCCCTCTGCTCCACCCCCGCCCTGTTTATTTTCTTTTAGAACTTGTCTATTGAAGTTTAACAATCACACAGGAGTCAGTAAAGATTGTTAAGTGCTGGGGTTATCAGCTGTCACAAGTGCAGGGGCCTGCATTTGTAAGCTCTCCAGCAGGCCATAGATGGACTCTGCTGTCACATCTGGTTTGAATCCAGCTTCTTGCTCTGGGACCTTGGGTAAGATGCTGAAAACCAGTTGTCGTGGAGCTGACTGACTGCATGCATGTCAGAGTAGAGCTGTGCTCCACAGGGTTTTTAATAGCTGGTTTTTTGGAAGTAGATCACCAGGCCTTTCTTCTGAGGTGCCTCTGAATAGACTTGAACCTCCAACCTTTTGGTTAGCAGCCGAGCGCTCAACTATTTGTACCACCCACGGACTCCTGTGAGTTGCTTGTTGTTGGGTGCCGTCAAGTCGATTCCGACTCATAACGACCCTGTGTACAACAGAACAAAACACTGCCCGGTCCTGCGCCATCCTCACAATCGTTGTGACATGTGCCAACACCAGTTTTCACATGCATGTGAGGCAACTGAAAACACCATAGCTTGGAATCAGGGCACCTTCGTCCTTAAGGCGACATCTTTGCTTTTGAACACCTTAAAGAGGTCTTTGCTGCAGATTTGCCTGATGCAGCGCGTTGTTCGATTTCTTGACTGCTGCTTCCATGGGCGTTGATTGTGGATCCAAGTAAAGTGAAACCCTTTACAACTTCAGTATTTTCTCCATGAGTTGCTTAGCCTCTCTGAATCCAAGTGTCTCCGGTGTACTCTGCAGGGTTGTCATGATGAGAGCGGGTGTCTGTGATGGTGCCTGTCCTGTCTGTCCTGGGGCGCGCTCAGTGAACACTCGCTATTCTTGATAGTTAAGAGGATAGATCGGATTGGCTTTGTCCCGTGGACTGAATATCTTCTAACCTGCTGTTTGTGTCTAGGTTACTGCTCAGGTACTTAGGATGTTTCATGTTGGCAAATCACTAAGTGTAGCTGAAATGTGTTGTGGGGGAGAACCCCCATGCCTTGAAAGTCCTCAGGTTAAAATGTCCCACTTGTGCCCATTAAACGGTGGGGTTTATGCTGTGGGTGGTGTACGTTACCTGTTTGTCCTTTAGAGTTGGGAAGGAGCCTTTGGGGACCCTGCACAGTTGGACCTCGACGTCTGCCCAGGTTGCTGAAGTGTTCGTGGACAGAAACTCATTTAAACAGCATGTGCAAAGCTCTAGGCGCCTAAGAGTCGCCATTCACGCTTCAGAGGAATATCTGGAGCTGCTGTGGCTTATGTTTTAGGATTCTTTTTTCCTCAAGAATCATCCGTTCAAGAGCCAAACTACTCTTCTAACTGGTTTTCCACTGTACGTAACACGAACAGACCCGCTGTTTCACGCATCTTCCGTAGCAGTGGGAAGAGTCGGGTCCAGCTTCATTGTTGCGAGTCTTTGGCTGTGCCTTGGTGTCCTGGTCTGAGTCATGGTAGGACCGTGGTGCTGGCCTCGTGGGTCGCCGTGGAGATGCAGGGCAGTGGGCGCAGACGTTGGGCGTGGTGCTTTACCTATGCTGTGCCCGTGTCACGTGCCCGAGGTTGTCTGTGTCCAGTCGCCCCTCCCCTGGAACCCGAGCCCCAGGCCTGCCTGTGCCTCCCGCCTCGTGGGCCTCTCTGCCCCAGTCCGACACCGAGTCAGCAGAGACCGGGCTGAGGGTGCTGGACGAGCACACACATGGTCGAGGCCGTGCCCCGACCACAGGCTCTCCTGTGTTAGAGTGCACGTCAGAGGCCGGCTCGCCCGACTCCCCCGCTTGGCGGTCCGCGTTCTGTGGGTCCAGATGAAGTCCTGGTGGAGGTGCCCTCCTGTGGGGCTGAGTCCCACCAGAGTCCTCCCCAGGGAGGCGAAGGAGCACCCAGGGAGCCGAGTGAGAATGGCAGGGTCCTGGAGACCAAGGTGCAGGCTGGGTGAGGCCTTTCTGAGCGGCAGGCTGTGTCTGTCGACAGCCTCACAGGGTGACGAGCGTGAGCAGGGTGCTGGTGTCCCGGGAGGGTTTTGTGAGCCCAGAGATTACCCAGGGGTCTGTGGTCCCAGAGGGGCTCGAGCCCCAGCTCTGCCATGTGAGGGTGGAGACCGTGGGCATGGCATGGGGGGGGGGTCCCCGTGTGCCTCAGTTTCCTCCCTGTGCAGCGGGCACACCTCGCTCGTGGCGCCGGTGAGGAATAAGCGAGTGGCCTTGTTCGGTGGGAATTTCATGGTGGTGCTCTGGTGGTAGGGCCCAGGCAGAGGCGCCTGCCTTCAGGACATGCTGAGCGGAAAGGAGCCAGGGCACGGGAGCCGTGCAGCGCTGGCATGGCTGGGAGGCCTAGTGCGCTGTCTGTGCCACCGTCCACAGGGATCAGACGCAGGGACGCCCCTTCAGGCTCCTCTTAGGACAGGGAGGGCGGCTTGGAGCCGGCACCTGTGGGCGGGTGCCTGTGGGCAGGCGGCACCTATGGGTGGGTGCCTGTGGGTGGGCAGGGTCCGCAGGAAGCTAGTGCCGG